CTCAGTATCATTCACCTTTGTGTCAGACTAATCACGTGATTGGATATTTGGATCGGAGTGTTCCAGAGGGGATCGGAAAAAAAACCATAGATGCTTTTGTTGATGAATTGAAAATGAGTGAGTCTATGGAGGAAAGCGAGAGCTCTCCATGTAACATGAACGTGGCCTCTCCGAAAAGCGTGTGTATGTACCAGTTTCACCTAATTCACGCTGGTTACACCACCAACTGCTCCCATGTGTTTTTTAAATAGATTCTGGCAATCTAGGTAAAGTTGGTGTTAGGAGACTGTTCAGTAAATCTACTTTTTAACTGCACCAAAGCGACTTGCCTCATGATTCTAGCTGTATATTTTGACATCGGTTTGAGCACGATTTCATGGAAAGACCTGATATCACAAGAATAAGGGCATTGTTGGTGATAGAACAACCGAAGATTAGGTACAGTCGTTGCTATCTTGAGAATCTGCTTCATTAACCCTTATGGATATGAAAGTTCCAGGGAAATTTTAATCCATCAATGGTTTTGCGCAAAATGTTTATCCCACTGGCCACAACTTCATCGAGTTAATATTATAATAGACAGTATAGGCAAGCAAACATCAGTATGGGTAATTCGGAATCGAGTAAGGCTCTATAATGTACGACTCATGAAGTAACTTTGTTGCTCTAGAGGACAGCGAAACTCACCAAGTGAGTCCCAGTGGACAAAATACAAATTCCAATACAATCGTATGCAATAAGCTCAGCTCGTTTGGAGTTGGGGGCCAGGGAGGAGACTTGGGTTAAAATTACCCGAACTGCCTTTTAGTCGAACCAAGTAGTCGGCTCCTTTTGTTTCGCCATCATTTTTCTATAACAGTCTGAAGATATTCAGTCAGATTCTAAATGCGTTCGTTATCTGTCGGGAAGATTGGAGTGACATACTTGGAACTGAGCAGACTGAACAGTTATCGAACAATTTAGTCACACAAAAATGTACCGAATTTTAATACAGTTCCTGTATTTTGCTAATTGCTGATTAATCTTGGAAGAGGTGATTGTCCCCACTATAGCTCAGCATAATTTTACCACGAATCATTGTACCCCGCCCTTTTCAAGAGACGACAGATCCAGCGGCCAGTTATTGAATCGCTCGACAGCTCCTCCCCCCTAGTTGCGTGACAATTTCTTGCCATCCACCCTCTATCTTTACCTCTTATTGGGGGAAGAAGTGAAAACAGAACAGTGTCAAAATTTTAGGCAAGTGTCATAAGTAGAACATAAGGTTGACGGAAACTCGGGGACTGCGCCTACCTGACGAGCCCCAAGAAGGGCTAAACCGATCGTGGGCTGTCGAAGAGTTTCTAGCAACGTTGTGAGTAGTTTCTTCCATGAGAGTGTCACCTTGTTCGCGTCTTACCAATCAGCTTATCATTCGATGAAAGTCACAGATAGTGTTATCTGCTCCCTTGCACCCATTCCAAAGGTGCAAACTGCCAACATCACGTTCAAACATGTATACGTGCTCATGAAGGACACAAGTTGGAACGCTCAAAAATGGTTCACCATTTCGCTTTACACCGCTGACTCAGCACCCCGCGGAGAGTCCCCAGAAGTGTGAGTCCAGACAGAAAACAATCAAGTGGGGTGAAACATATCACACCGGTGGCACAGTTGGCATTTTTTAATGAAGCAGTGTTCCTGTTCTACATTTTGACTTTTTACTGTCCAGTCGACCAATGGTTTACACATGAGTCCACTATTCTAAACTTTGTATTCTAATCTTTGTTATTTTTATCGCCTCAGAGGTTTAGGCTACAGCGGCAAACATAGCACCCGTCATCAACACACTGTGTGAGTGTTTTGCCCACCGTCATCTTCATTAACGTCAGTTACAAACTACTCACAATCCTATCTCCCTCATTCTGTTTCTTGAGACACCTTTTTTTAGTAAAACCTGAAATTTCCACCCGGCGTGTGCGAACCTTATCACAGAGCAGTGGAATATATATTTTTGTTTTCAGGTTTAGGGCGGACAAACGGAGCCAGTTTGAGAGTGGCACACCCTGTGCCAAATCACGTTACGGGCGGATAAACGGAGCTAGTTTGAGAGTAAAGTGGCACACCCTGTGCCAAATCACGTTACCTGGACATAACTAAAATTACTGCACACTGACACGCCACTTTCAGGACGACACAGCTATAGCTCTCCATTTTTTTAATATAAACTAACGCTAACAACTAATGACAATGGTGATAACCATAAGTAACAAAAGATATTAAGGTCATCCACATTCACTGCCTGTCAACGACTTCTGTAGGAATGGGAACAATTTCCCCCAACCAAAGCAATCTAGTGATGATCTTTTGAATTAAGAATATATTGAACATTACAACACAGGTTGACAACCAGTGGGTCATGCAGTTTTCTGGCAAATAAAGAATACCGGTCTACCAGTAGTAGAAATGAAGCGGGAGACGAGGTAGTAAAAAGACCATGCGCGGAGCTTTTTTATGGGTGCTCCCAATGAACTCGGTGCATATCACACGTGTGACATCTAGGCAGCCTTTTACAAACGGTACTCGCTTCAGCCCAGGTGCTCACTCAGCAGCTCAAATGCCAGGCTTCTAATTGGTCCGTGTCACAAAAAACGTATTCCAATTTAGAGTAACTTCAAATCTGAAAGATCCGGAGAGCACTTTTCGGGCACAGGCTACAATGACATCATGAAAACCCAGTACTGGTGTCTACTTTGAATAGAATAATCTCCAGGCCACGTTTGACGATTGTCGTGTTTTGCTACTCTTAGTAAATCTTTTTTTTAATTTGATGGACTTTGGAAGGTACTAAGAAAAGTCGAAACTTTTGAAAGTTCTTTAAAATGACGGATCGTGATGGCTATCAGACAACTCAATTAATGGAATTATTGGCCAAATTTATAGCCAATTTAGAAGCCAAGAGTCCGTCCATTCTAGTACCTACATTTGTGCGGTCCATCAGAGTTTTGACTTGGATTTCAGCCAATTCTTGGCGCAATCACTTGTCTTGGAATGATTGCATGACAGTTTCAGAGACTCCCACCCGTTGGAAATTTGTGACTAAGTAGCGCTGGATATATTTTTCGAATTCCGGTTGAAAGACCTGTTAGGTAACTGATTTTCCCAGCTGATAAAAATTCTGGTTAGAAATGGTGAATAATATAGGTGAGCGTCTATGTTTATCGCTTACCTTCCGCCTAACTGTCACTTCTTGATGTCCCAAAAAACAGTAATTTGTTCGACTTGATTTACTCCACCGCTGAAGAGCCTTGTCTTCCTCTGTGTCCTCGGGTAAACAAACAACCTTGTCATTACTTAACCTTATTGCGAGTAGTATAGAAGTGAAACATTCCCACTTTTCAGCATGTTTACGTTGGTTTATGGCTCGCACTCAAAAGGTGGCTGAGTGCTCGCCAACTTAGCTGTCTCGACACCAGCGATCTACACTTATTACGTGATTGATCTTTGAAGAACACACCAACAGCTGCATCCCAAACATGAATGAAATGTTGCTTACATAAAGACGGTGGCTAAACGCACGCATGTAAAAGAATCCGGTTGCACTTATTGGCTGCGCATGCAACACGGGGATGTAGCATAACAATATTATATATACTTGTTGGATGAATTCTTAAAAAGGCACGGGAAAACAGTATACAGTATGTCCCGTAAGGTTAACGTTCCTCCAATCACGAAAGCATAAACTCGTCTCCTATTTAGTGAATATACACTCATTTGCAAACAAATATGGTTTTGCGAGAGACTCGCCTGGAACCCAGCTGAATCTCTCGGTTTTGATGTTTCCAGGCAACTGAATGTGCTGCACCAGGCCACCTCAGTTTTCCGTCGCTACGATATTCGAGGTATCGCGATACATACATTTTTGTAATGCACTACTCATAAGGTTGCTCAAAACTCCTCGACAGCCCACGACCGGTTTAGCCCTTCTTGGGGCTCATCAGGTAGGCGCCGTCACCGAGTTTCCGTCAACCTTATGTTCTACTTGAAAACAAATTACACGGCATTAGCGAATATACACTCATTTGTAAATAAATTTGGTCTTATTTCTCCATATTATGAATTGAGAGCTCCGAGCGATTTCACAACATCCAAACTGATTTCAACCCAAGCTTCCGCATTCCCACATGGGCACAGTGAATACGAGTGTGAATCAAAAAGTTCTACTCATCACGTATGGGAAATTCTGGAGAAACGAAGTATTGAAAGTGTTGCTGTAACCGAGGGGAATCACTTGGGGGAGACAATACAATGAACTACGGAACTGTTTGTCGACCTATATCCTGAAATTCGATTGTCGTCCTGAATCAGTCGGTTTCAGGTAACTGTTCACAAAAGCTCTGAGTATGCATGTAATCATTTGCCCTACATGGACATTGGCAGTGATAAACTAGAACCTAAACAAAGCTTCCAGTCATTACATGCCTCTTCACAATGGCAGGAACTTTTGGTGACTGCATCAAAAAACAGTTTCCACTAAAGATGTCTCCTCGGGAATGATAAATTTAAAGGGTCCACTAAAACGATTGTATCATCCATTACGTTGACAATTGAAATTCCCCACGTTTATTCTGTCCCCATTTGTAACCCCCGCCCCAATACTTATGTCTAGTGTGTGTATATGAACTGACGTTTGTTTGTCCTTACCGCTTCACCCATTCGGCCTTGAGGTTATCTGGTTATCCGGACTTTGTGCGCGTGTGACTGTCGCACGGGGGAACCTGCTTGCTCCTTTGGTTTGTACTTTTGTAGTCCAAGTGGACCATTTGTTTTGGACGAGTATCTACTGTCGAGGTTTGTATAACTTGTGAATTTGTCCTACATTATAAGCGCCGTATAGAAACCCAACTCCGACTTTGTTTTGCCAACCCGGAGGTTCTGGTATTACGCGTCACTCGAAGATACCGTTTGGCCGTTACAAAGATCCTTTCTGGAAGAGAATGAACCACTGAAAAAAGCTTCAAGGAAATACTTTAAAAATGGTCCGAAGAGGTAGTAGCACAAGGAAGCACACCGACAGGTGTAACTATGATTCATGACAACTGATCACGACTGTGTTGTGCTATGTCAGGAATAAAGTGACTACCCAAGTGACCCGCACTTGGTTTTCGCGTACACAAAACGGAGTTGGGTAAAGAACGCTTAAAGGTGCAGGCACAATGTACTGGTATAAAAACAGGAATACTTTTACAGGGTGCACAACACATTTGAATGAAATCCCTCGGCAGCTCCAGTACAGGGGCGTTAATCGGTCAATGTGCTGGCGTCTACGATTCGCTGGATTTGTTTTGAACCACCACCGAAGAAACAGTAGCTGACTGATGTTCGACTCCATTCGTTTGGATGCCTTGGATTTCTCTTAGAGCTAATTCGTAACACTGAAAACCGAAAAAGAAGTAGCAGGTTATGTGGGTGTGTCTTAAAGATGTCACAACGGTCCAGTGCAATAAAGTTTGTTACGTAATATTCCATCTGCTCTCCCAGGAGACCGCTAGTCCGTCTCTAAACTTCAAGTCAAACTGGAGCTCACAAGTGCTAATATGATAACAGAATCTCGCAAAAAGCTCGCCAGTCTATGCCGGGTGGGATAACTTACTACAAAAGGTTCAGACGTTTTGCAGGACACTGAATACACAATAGATATAGTGGGCTCTTGGCCCACTTGTTCAGGTGAACGGACCATGAACTTGTGTGAATGTGTCCTTTGTAATCTTCGTAACATTGTTGGGGTAACAACAAAGCTGCGATCGGAACACCTACGCACAAGGCATCCTAAACAGTAACGTTCGCCAAATTTCGCAGCATCAACAAAAACTAGCATATCATATGGGAAAATAGGGTGTGAAAGGAGTTCGGATATCTGAAAATTCGATTAAATTGGAGAAACTGGCAACAGGAAGACACGACAATAATACGGAGCTACATCTTACAGCGTCCTCGTCCGAACACTGAGAAGGTCAATAGCCCCCATACTGTTAAATGATTAAATTTAAGGGAAAAACCGGTATTTCTGAAGCAATCGCCCATTCAGCTATTTGGAAAACTGGGGAAGTCCACTCAGTTCGCCCTCCCCGAAAAAAATTATGTACAAACTATTGCTCCCCATGTTCGGTGATCATACATTGATTCAATCGCTCCAAAGGATTCGGGCAGGTAAGGGGGCGAAATATTAGTTACATAGCTGCGCAGTTTGGCCTTCATCGTTTTGAAGACCTCTAGTCACTTGCCGAGGAAGCATATTCGCCGTCAACTCAGTCGTGACCTGGGAGTGGAGACGGGGATTACGATAGCTAGGCTTCCGAGTGCACCACGGTCATTACCAAGCACCTGATTCGTCTTCCTTGTAGCACTTGAATTTAACCCTGAGTGGAACTCAAAGAGGAGCTAATACCATATCAAACCGTGCGATATCCCGATAACTCAGTTAGCTCAGTTTAGTGTGGCAACCATGAACCGTATGATGGCTATGGCAGATTGTGCCAGAGGGTAGTTCAAGATAGAGAGAGTGCAAGAAAACAATTAGGAAACAAAGTGGTAAAAAGACAGTAGGTTATTGATTAGAAACCGGGGAACAGATAAAAGACCGGCATTGAATGCATGAGATTGCCATGTCGGGGCCCAGAGGAACTGTTCTTCAAGGCGCTCAGCCCATCGATCATCTGTGAATCAGTTGAGATCCCAACCCTTCCGGAGATAGTTTCAAAAACAACCCATCCTCTTAGAACCAGTTAAAGGGATTATCTGCAACAAGTTGTGATTCTTCCCCGTTGCAAAATATTTTCCCATTTCACGGGCTTTTGATATCCATCGGTGCTTGAAGGATCTGTAGGCGTTACCACAGTTGCCTGTTGCTGGTAGACTTTTTCTGGTTGCAATCAGAGCTGCTGAGAGGGGCGAGATTCGGTGTGCATTAAGATATGCGAGTTTCCTCGGGCACATAGTTTTAGAAGCTGTGCTCATGGCCTCTTCCACTTTTCTCCACTAGTCGTTCAAATCAGCATTGTACCCATCGATGAGTAGCGCATTCTCTGCCAGCGCAACGCGATATCGATGTGCTACAGAGACTCTTTGTAAACAGTGAACCTGACGTCTTTACACCCCCCGGCGAGTTCCAGAGGGAAAGGTGATAGATACGTGTGCCCCAACAATACCGTGATCGAGGTCTAGAGGTGTACCCCAAAATGAACAACAATGTTTTATAGAAGCTCTCCACATGATCCATTTGCAGTTGGTGGCTTTCAAGGCATACAGTGTGAGCGCTCGTGCTGAAAGATTTCATACATAAAGGAAGCAGCCGTTACCCAAGATCTGTGCGGCGAGCGCCAATCCCCAGTCGGCCGCCAAAATGTGCCTCGCCGGGACTTGGTCGGACAACCTGAGCATTCTCCGGAGTAACCGTGACAAATCTCTAAAGAAACGGTCTTTCTCAGCCAGAGAGCTAATCTGTCGTAACGCATGCCGATACTACGAATGAAACCCGTTTGCCACATCGAGCTGCACTGATCTTCATCATCATTATCAATGAGAGCAACATCAGTGTTGGCACTGATGCTTCACTGCCGTACAACCATAAAGTTCGTTTAGTTATATATATA